TCACTAAGTTTTAAGACTGGGTTTTTATTGTATCAAAATATTTACTTTAGTTTCTTTTTTTTTTCTTTAATGTGATTAAGTAATATACTTGGCAAGAATTGTTCAGGGGCAAGGTCCAAGAAATTCGGAATAGATTTGTGAGGCAGTTGAGTCACGTAGACACCCAAGTTCCAATAAACTATTACATGAATTCACAGGAAACTTATATCATTACCTTGAAAGGGAGACAGAAGCAAAGGCTGGAGTTGAACTTGGGGCACTGCAATAAGGCCAACTGATCCTTAATGCAAGGTGCAGTTACTCTACCAGGTGGGCCGCCAGGGCACAACAAAGGGCTTCTCTCTTTTTTAGTTTTTGGTTTAATATAAATGCTAAAAAACTCCCAGGCACTTTGTTTTAAGTGACAATTAAAACACTCTATTTCTTATACCACTATTATGTTTAATTGAGAGAGAAGAGTTGGGTTTTTTTTAGTTTTTTTTTTTTAGATTGAATATATCTTTTGTATGAGAATGAAGCCTTTTTAATTCTTCAGATTTTGACAAAGTCTATATATAATCTTCTGAAGAGCAAACAAAACCATTTTGAATCCAGGAAGCCAATCTGTGCAAATATTTTTTAAGCTAAGAAATTTAAGACAGTACATCATTGAGAATGAAAAACAGAACTACTGAAATGCAGGAAACAGGAGCAGTTTCTGGGTTTGTTCTTATGAAGAGAATTCCTGGCCCAGCTACTTCCTCCAACCTTCTTTTTGTCACCTTGTGCTTTCCTCATTTAGTTGGACCATGATAGTTTGACAACTAATCACAGACTGCAGAATTGAACCACTTTGATCTCTTTTATTCAGTAGATTTCACACCATGGTGCGCGTTGGGGAGAATTTGCTGATTTATTTATAATGCCCTGTGAATATTTCATTTTCATTGTGGTCATGGACTCTGTTTTAATGGAAAAGACACTGTTTTGCACATCAGAGGTTCAACTTAACAAGTCTTTTGTTCTCGTAGTTTTTTCCTCTTTTTTTTGCTGCTGTTATCACTTGGACCATGTCAGTGAACTGTGTGGTCATAGTCATATTGTGGAACCTCTGATCTTTCTGTTCAGGTTTCATATCTATGTGAACACAGGTGCTGCCATACTGAAATGTGATACAAGTCACATGGCAAGGATAGAGTCACGATCCAGAATCTGATTCTCCCGGCAGGTGTAGTTGAACTGACTCAAATCACATGATTAGTTGTGAATATAGTCCCTGGAAACTCGTATTTTACTTTGAAAGTTCTGATCATAAGTGATTCATTTCAAATTTGTTTCTGTTCCTTCTGCACCTGAAGCTCAATAACCAGAAATCCTCATAGTCAAACATTAACCAAGTCTTTTCATTAGCAGTGTTTGACTTTCAGAGGGTGAAACAGTTAATTTCAGCGGTCCCCAACCTTTTTTGCGCCACGGACCAGTTTATGCCCGACAATATTTTGTCGGACCGGCCTTTAATGTGTCGCGGATAAATACAACAAAATAAAACTAGTACCGGTACCGAAAAAAAGAAAGTTTATTCATAACACACGTGAAAAGACCCAGGAAAACCGAGTAAACGATAAAAACAATAACAAAATAACGCTAAAAACTGATAAAACACCCTGAAAACCATACATTTCACACCTGAGCCTCAACTCTCGCGGCCCGGTACCAAACGACTCACGGACTGGTACCGGCCCGGGGGTTGGGGACCGCTGGTTAATTTAGCTTATCTTCTGTGCTTTCTTTAGCACATCAACTGACCGTGTTTATTCTAGTGAGACAATAAAGTACAATTGGAAAATGCCAGAAGAATAGCAGAGCCATAGCCATACGTCTGGAGGTTTATTAGATGCCAAAACCCTATGATGTTTTGGCATCGAATAAGCAAATGTGAAACGAATGATTCCAGTCATTTCATCCTTTATCACAGCTGATGCGAGGGAAACAATAAGAGTATGGCTGTTCCCAAATCATATGCATTCCGGTTCTTTATTGGACCACACGGTCCCTCCCAATTGAAATGTGTGAGCTCATGGCTTTTTACCGTCTTATTGTTTAGCCGTGCGTCTCTGTGTACACCTTTCTGGGTGTGTGTCTTTTTCTTTGAACACCTTCCTTCCTCATTCTTATTCAGGTTTATTTTTCTCTCCTCAAGCACTTAAAATTTATCATGTTCAACAATGCCCCTTATTGTTTAGAAGGACGTTGTAAATGTATATGGGTTTAAGACAATCAGATAGAAGCATACAAATCAGTTCTATTGCTGACCAAACACTGCAGCGATCTTTTAAAGTCAATTTTCATAGCAGGCAAAGCTTTGGTTTAGTTGGTTGTCTAATCTCTTGGTTAGAGATTGTCCTCATCTGTCTGTTCCTCTGTCTGACATTGCTCCAGTGTTTTGAACCTGCCTGTTAATGTCAAGCTTTTGGTTCTGCTATTAAAGCTTTCAGCCTGGTGAATTAATAATTATCTAACAATATTCAGAAACAGTAGTTAGGGCTTGCATAATGACTTTGTTTTCCAGGAACAAAGCTGTGTAGCTTGTGGGCTCTGACCCAGTACAAGAGTTTTAGCTGCAACAGTGGGATTTACTCTGGCTTTTAAAGAGGCTTAGCAATGCCAGTTCAGTTGGCCTTAGAAAAACTGGAGGCTGAAGAATCTCTTTATTAGTAATAACTGTGAGCAAACACAAGGGTACTGAAAAGTCCGTTTGGTGAAGTTAAGTAAAATATCCTATGTAGTCATTGGGAAAGCTTTGATATTAAATATCACTCAGACAACAGTTCAGTAAGATGGGAACACTGGTACTCAAACAATGGCAGATAGGAGAGTAAGTAAAACTTTAGTCTCCAAACAGACCATATGGTACAAGAGACAATAATTATGTGTGCTGCCTTAAAAACCAAACTTGAAAACAGTTGTTTCTGTTTATTGCAGTTCTTTTCTTCATCACAACATAGCACATGTAATCACACATTGTGTCTAACAAGGAAACTTGGCTGTGCCTGACAATTATAATATGCAAACTCTGTTTCAGTCCCACAAAACCCAGAAATACGATCCCAAGTAATCCGATGGTTGATTTAGGTTTTATATTAACCAAAAATGGCAAAGAGCTCATTTTATCGTTAGTGCGTAAGTCAGTGCACTGGAGTTTTTTCATGGTTTTCCTGATTTGAGATTGTAGCTTTTAGAGTTTATAGCTTTCATAACATGGCACAGGGCTTTATTTCCATATGGTTGTTGCCAAGGCTCTTAAAAAGGTTTGTAACTGGCTCCATTTGATGGTCTTACTTACATGATCCAGACGACTGTTTAGGAGATTTAGGTACTTTTGTAATTTTGAAATCTTACTGTTTTTGCAAAGAGAGGCAAATCTTTTATCTGTCAGTATTTTCCTGTTGTGCCAATTTCTGTTCCTGTTTATCTCTACTACTGCGCTTCTCTTATTGTAGAACTGTTGAATCCAAGTAGGCCAGGTGGGTGGTGTAACACACAGCCAAAACTGTGAATAAGATAGGGAAGAAAGGAGTGAAATGGAAAAGTGCATTTATACACTGTTTTATTGAGTCTGGAGCCTAAATGGGTCTACCTGCCTTTCCTTTGCTTCATCAACATAAAATACAGTTTGTGGTACATATTTCCATACTGACCAGTTAAGCAAAAGTAAAATTTTCCTCCTAATATACTTTCAGACACGTACACTCATTAGCTAGATCTCATTTTGCACGTATTCTAACATGCAACCATGTCCTGTCTGGGCAAATAATAGTTCACATTCATACAATGGCAGTATTGAGACACACATGCACACTCTAAAGGGGCAGGAAGTCAATAGGAACACACCTAATATAGACATTAAATGGGACTCTTTGTGCATACGGGCAGGCACAGGTCTGTAAGACACTATGGCACAGCTTTCCAGAACAATCTTTATTGGTTTAATTATTGTATTCAGCTCTCCAGCTGACTTTTAGACAGCCTGATATCTCAAACCTTGAAGATTTCATTAGCGAGCAAGGAGAAAAACAGAATGGGGAGTGAAGAAACAGGAAAGACAGGATTTTAATGAAAAAAGATGAAAAGAAAATGGGCTCGGAGCATAGAAAAACTAGGGCTACGTCCACACGTACCCGGGTATTTTTGAAAACGCAGATTTTTCTATGCGTTTGCACCTTTCGTCCACATGTAAACTGCGTTTTTGGTCACTGAAAACTGAGATTTTTAAAAACTCTGGCCAGGGTGGATATTTTTGAAAACTCAGTTTTTGCATTTACGTGTGGACGAGGAAAACGGAGAAAACGCAGCGTCAAAGGTGTGCGC